TCCTTTTTTTAATTCCCAAAAGCATCATCCACTCCACGGCAGTACTGGCCTCTGCCTCCTTATCCTCCTCCTCCTCAATCAGCTGGCGAGAGAGACATTTCAGGATCTCGACCCTATCTGGTTGAACCGTATTGTCAACTAAGGTGGCCTCACCAGCCAATCTGTCGGCCCTTTCATTTCCTCCAACACCTGCATGGCCAGGGCAGAAAATCCATGAGAGCGAGCCGAGACAAATGCATCGATAAAGTCAATCAAATACTTTAATAACAATAATAATTTGATTCCCATTAAAACAAAGTTTCATGTAAAGAACTTTTCCCAAGGACACAACGTCGGGCTGAGCTGAGGCTCGAACCCCCAAACAAACCCCGAACCCCCATAAACCCGTCTTTCTCTTTTTTCATCAACCCCCTCCCCCACTTGAACAAACCCCCCTCCCTCGCCAACTCCCTCCACAAACTTCCCTCCTCTAATTGGTTTGGAACCCCGGAAGCTCCTGTTGTACCAGCTGCGGAAATTGATCGGAAACGGAACGGTATTGTGATGGTCACCTGACCCCACACCAGCGACCAGTGACCAGTGACCAGTGACCAGTGACCACCCGGGGTGAGCGAGGACAAAGGGCTACCTCAGAATAACAAAGTTCTATCTGCTCAGCACCTAGTTTCGAGAAAATAGACGTAAATAAATGTTGAGTTTCACAACATGTCAAACTTTTTAGAATGCAATTCTTTGAAGATCTTGACAACGACTCCGAATAATCTTACAAGTACGATAGAGCAAATAGAACATTTCTTTGATTTCCGATCTCATGGTCTGAGTAACTCAAAACGGCCGAAAATTCCATATAGAACTTTGTAATTCTGAGGTAGCGAAAGGCCAACACACAGCGGCTGATCGGAGGACCGGACACAGAACTGGGAATATAGACAGAAGGGACCGTGGCTTCTGGACTATCGTACATGAGAACCCTATCATAATACATTGCTGCTAGACAGACAGGCAGACAGACCAGCCCGGAAACAGTAGTGATCACCGATGTGCCGTGTGTCGTGTGTCGTCTGTGTCATGTGTCGTGAGCCGTGTGTTGTGTGTTGTGCGTCGTGTGTCGTGTCCCGTGTGTCGTGTGGTCTCTGTGTCGTGTGTCGTGTATCGTGAGCTGTGTGTCGTGTGTCGTGTGTCGTGAGCCGTGTGTCGTGAGCCGTGCGGCGTGTGTCATGTGTCATGTGTCATGTGTCATGTGTCGTGTCCCCTGCGTCGTATGTAGTGGTGTCCTAGCTCTATGGTGCGGCGTAGCGTGGGAACAGAGCACTAGCCCGAGTGTCATGTGTCATGTGTCATGTGTCATGTGTCATGTGTCCTGTGTCATGTGTCGTATGCCGTTGGTCGTGTGTCGTGTCCCCTGTGTCATGTGTCGTGGTGTCCCAGCTCTGTGGTTCCGCCGATAGCGCGGGAACTGAGCACTAGCCGCGTGTCGGTCAACACAGAGGTGGTGGGGACTGATTTGTTAGGACAATATTGACTTGCCCGCTACCGGGCCCGGGGCAGGGGGGGGGGGAATTAATCACCAGACGGAGGTGGGTGGGGGCGGTCATTATCGCGCGCAGTCCGCTGTCAGGGTGTGTGTGGGAAGTTATTATTTCTCCTAATCCAAGAGGCGAGAGGTGCTAGTGACGTCACAAGTAGACAATCGACCGACCTCTCAGATCTCAGAGGATCAAAAGCCAGACAGTGTGAGTAGGGGTGTGAGTGGGCGTGTCAGTGCCGGGGTGTAATCAGAGGCAATATTATGTTTATTTTGATAATATTCAAGTCATTTGAAATACACTGAAATGTAATGAAACATTTCTGCAAGTCAACACTTGAAATTGAAAGCTTATGTAGTATCGGAATTTCATGTTCTTTTGGTAACATGTCTTAACCCTATCCGTGCGTCGTCTTTTACTATCGTATCCATACGACGTGGGGAACTCAGTGACACCTCTTTCCAAAGAAGAAATTTACTCGTTAATTCGATCCGTACGCTTTGCATAGCAGACTGTCAAAACGACTTTTTGAGAAATACTGAGAGTTTCAATAAGATCTTCGCACTAGATCTAGAAGTATTCTAAAATGTGAAGAACACAGCCTCTGGGGTACAAAATGACCCCAGGTGTACGGATAGGGTTAACAATAGCCACGTGTGGACAGAATTACACGGGAAAAAGCAAAAGTTGTGAAATAGTTCACTCCTTTAAAAAAAGTCATTTCTTTCACTGAACTCAACAGCACCAATATTGCGAGAGCAGCAAAGAAGAACATTGCTGCAGTAAGCACCTGTTACATTCGGAAAAGCAGACATCTTTTAGAAGTAAACCATTTATTTGTAAACAGCACAAACCAAAAGATGCACACATTCCTCCTACCGCTGTCAGTATGTTTTAGTTTAAGTAGAGGCTTTACGGCGCCCGCAACTGCACAAGGTGTTATGAGCGCCAAGGGGTGAATGTCAACAGAGAAATCCTTTCAGGAAATCAGGCTTACTCCGCTCACCTCTCTAGCTTCAACAGCATAAAGCCTGCTACGACTATCAAGGCACCCCGGAAATAGCGGGTCACAAGGGTGTGACAAACACACAAAAGAAGTTTTAGAGGTAAAATGGCGATAGTAAAGAATAGAAAAGAAAAAGCAGCAGTTCCTTGTTGCAGTTCAGGCATTGTTCTGAGCATGACATTGATGAATCAACCCATTTACAAATTCTAGTGTGCGTAAGAACATGGTTATTCGTGTGTGTCCGTCAGGGTCTGTAAGTGTGTATGTGTTGTTGTTGTTGTTGTTGTTGTTGTTGTTGTTGTTGTTGTTGTTGTTGTTGTTGTTGTTGTTTGTGTTTTGTTATTGTTTGTAGTTGTTGTTGATGTTGCAGCTGCTAACGAAACTGTCCTTACTGTAGATGTAATTCTCAAAACCGATGATGATGATGATGATGATGATGATGATGATGATGATGATGATGATGATGATGATGATGATGATGATGATGATGATGATGATGATGAAGACCAGGGAAGAGCAAGCCCAGGTTTGTCATCCGCACCAACCAAGCTTACACACATGTCAGCTGACAAACATACAAACAAACAAACAATCAAACAAACAGATAACAGACGGAGAGGCAAACAAGCTCTCAACCAATCAGCACTCATCTGTAGCAACGTACTCACCACGTCATCAATATCCACAGAGGGCGGGTCTGGGGAGAGAGACAGGAGAGTGAGTGGTTTTGTTTTGTGTTGGGGTTTTTTGTGTTTTTTGTTGTTGTTTTTGTTTGTACATGTTTTACGGCGCTCACAACTGCATAAGGTCATATGAGCGCCCGGGACACACTTTACATTTTCAGTTGGTAGAAAATTTTGAATTTTGCCCGGGTGGCCCACCAAGGGATCTTTAACTTGCGTCCCTAACCTTGTGTAGACAGGGGTTTAAAATTGTATTTTGATCCCGTGGGGGAAATTTGGATAACAATATCAAACAAACAGACATAAATGTATAATTTAAAATAAAACAAATATACATACAAAGAATACCAAATGTGAGGCATCGTGGTGAAATCAGGCGCTTGTCAAAATAATGAAATCTGAGAAATCGACATTTTTCAGCCAGTTTGGACTTTTTTTCGAATTTCTGTTTTTTGCCTCAACACCTTGTATGTCCATTCGAAAACACTTTTACACATGGATTTTATTGTAAAGCGTTAATTAAAGGCACAAAAAACATTAATTTGCAGTCTCCAAGGATTCCTAAGCTTTGGAAGTCACCATACTTTGGCAGCTATTTTCTCGCTAATTTTACATCTGAAACTAGGCAACCCCCACCTCCCTCAATCGCAAATATCTCGACTTCTATTCAAGATAAATGGACTTTTTAAAAATCAAAAGCAAAGCAAATAAACAATCTTGTAGACGATACCAATAACTCCATATGCTCAAAAATTGACGAGGGCTTGATTCCACTGCGTCGTGACACAAATACACAATATTATCCCACCGATGCAGACAGTTTTACAAACATGCTACTGGTGGTGGTCACTGCGCAACACCCACACATTTACTCTCGTGTCTCTCTCCCCTGTCTCCCTAAGTTACCCCACACACTAACTCTCGTGCCCTCCCCC